CTCAAGATTGGTTAAGCACCTCTCGGTCACCTATTATAATAGAAGAAAGTTTAGTTGCATTGGAAGAGTTGGAGGAAGGTAAGTTTATTTTTATGTTTGATTGCTTCTTTTTTTTTGTTTATTCAATATTTAAAGTTTAAACATAAATTTATATTTTAATCTTTTTTATTTTATTTCGTGTGATGTAGCCATGAAGGATCTAACTTTAGAGCAACCGGAGATCATAATTGACGAGACAATTGATACTTTGGATGATTTGTAAAATTTGTACTTTGAAACTTTGAAGTACTTAGTGATCCTACTATCTCTTTTTTTTTATGTTATTAAGACTTGATACTCTTGTGTGGTATTTTATTTTGAACATCTTGTGTTGATTTGATTGTGTTGTTGAGATTTGATACTCTTGTGTGATATTTTTAATATGAACATCTTGTGAAGATCGGTCCTATTATTTTTCTGCTTTTACTATATTTTTTAGAAAGACCCGTTATATGTATTTTAATTTATGTTGATTTTTATGGCATTAATCAAATATTATTATTTTAATATGCAACATGTATAGATTTTTGGATTCTAGCTTGTATTTTACATGGTTCACAAATACGTTTGAAGTGGAGCTATTTAATTTCATGGTTTACACAGAATGTTCCAACTCCTTTTAATTTCATGGTTCACAAATATTATTATTTTAATATGCACCGAGTCCTCATTGTTAAATGGGCTAGGCGATAGAACTGAGCAGAAGGCATTCAAATATACTGGAATTGCTTGCTTTAATCCAGGTTCCTTCTCAGACGATAACACATTTGTTGCATATAGGCCTTGCAACCAGGAAATTGAGTTTTCAGCCTTGTGAATATCTAAAGTTTATGGCTTCCATATCCTTTAGCATGATGGAACAAAGAAATGCCATTATTTTCAGTTCTCAATTGAGAAATTGTTATGATTAAATTATTAGTGTGATATCATTTGCAAATCTGCTGTGTTGTAAAGTATCTCACCAGTTCTGTCGGAAGATTGTGAATAACAATGGGATAATTTACGCGTTTAGTATCTAAATTATCAGTTTTAGTACTTAAACTTTTAATTTTATGTTAATTAATGCTTTTATTATGTTGAGTTTTTTTTGAATTTTTTGCAAAAAAAGAATTCGGATTCGGATCCAGATATTTGGATATCCGATCCGAAATTTAGGATATCCGAATTCGGATATCCGAATTTTTCGGATCGGATACGGATCATTACTTTAAGTATCCGAAATTTTCGGATATCCGAAATTTCGGATCGGATAATATCCGATATCCGATAATGCACACCCCTACATCCAAGAGTGCATCGGTACATCCCTTTATAAAATTGATTTTTGGCTCGATTTTGGTTCGAAATACTTTGTAAAATTGTTTCAAAAATATTTTATAAGTTTAAAACACAATTTTACACTTTAGTAAGGATTGAAATTGATCTTTGAAAAACTTAGAGTAATATTTTGATATTTGAATGACTTAATCGAATATACTTTAAAAATGATTATAAAATCTTAAAATTCAATAACACTTAATTTGTTATATCGAAACATCAAAATGTTTTCAACAATCTCCCCTTTTTGATATAACAAAACATTTTAGTAATTTTAAGATTTTCTTTGAAAAATTATTTTTGAAATCAATTTTGAAAAATTACTCCCCCTTACTCTATTCTCTCCCTTTTTGTTAAATCAAAAAGACTCTAAAACGTTTTTAAACAAGTTTTTGAAAATTTAGCCAATTGATATTTATATAAAGCTTAAGCTGCTAAGATCACAATCAAAAGAAAGATTAGCCATTAGTTTCATAAATCAATATTCATAAATAATATGCAATGGTGATTGGTCATATATCAACTAATATGTGAATGATGCAAAAACTAATAAAACATTAAATTCAAATTAAAAATTCAACCAAACCAAAGATATATATATATATATATATATATATATATATATAAGCATTTAAGTTCAAACATTTCCAAACATCCATATCAAATTCAAACATTCAAACATCCAAAATATATCAATCCAAAAACATCCAAAATGTTATAACAATAGGTCCTAAGTTCAATCCAAGAAAACTAAAGCAAGAGTAGGTTAATCGTCCATTGGTGGAGCATGAGGTGATAAATGTGCCCATATATTGGCCACATCACTTGTAAGCACGTCGACTCGCTCATCCATAGCATCGAAACGATGATTCATCGCTTCGTTGTTAGCAGTTAGATGGGACTCGATGGATGCGAACCTCATGTCAAGATTCTCCATAAACGATCGGAAGTATGGAGGCATCTGACTTTCTTGCTGTGTCGGCTCGTCGTCGGGTACGTGTTCGTCAATATCTCGCATAAGATCTTGAAGCTCTAGATCATCATCATATGCCGGTGTCGGAAGAGCTCGTGAAGAGCTAGCTCCCGGTGTTTTCTCAACAGATCGAACCCATTGGTCCTTATCCACGGACCAACCCGATTTCTTTAAGGATGTGAGATTTATTTGGTTCTGGATAGGGATGAGAATATCAAGAGAAACCTTAGGCCCGAGTTTGATAAAAAAAATTACTAAGGAGACAACCGTAAACTAAAGTTTCTACATTTTTGGATGGGGCAATGTTTACGGTATTTACTAATTCACCGAAAATGATCCGTGGCAAATTTATTTTCTTGTTATGTTGGATACAATGTATCCACCATAAGTCTAAGACTCTAAGAGAGGAGTTCCTATCTCTGGATGGTCTAAACCACCAAAAGATGATCAAGTGAAGGAATTGCTTGTGATAAGTTCTTAAGGTACTAGCACTAGCTTTGGCTAGGGATGGCAACGGGCCGGGTATTGGTCCCCTGTCCCCGTCCCCGTTTAAAAAAACCCATACCCTTCCCTACTTAAAAAACCGTGGGGATTTAAACGGGGATCCCCATCTGGTAATCAGGGGAAACTACGGGGAAACGGTTATCCCCGTTTAGCATAAACGATTATTTAAACGGGTATCAGGCCAGGTATATATATATTTAAATTAAATATATAAATATTATATATATATATTTAAATTAAATTAAATTTATTAATATTATATATATATATATATATAAAATAATTATTTTTAATATTTATCAAGGCGGTGATTACCAAACCCGTCCCCGTCCCCATTTAGCATAAACAATTTTCGCCGTCCCCGTTTAGCATAAACAGTTTTTCCCATCCTCGTTTAATTCGGTTTTCGATTTTCCCCATCTGGTTCGGGTTTTTTGCCATCCTAGCTTTGGCATTATAAGGTGTAGCCACCATCTCTTTTCGTTATCTAAACCTTCATTGTCTAGTCCAAAGGTGTTAGCAATAGTGTCGGAGTCAATATAAATGAATTGACCTAGAAGATAGGATCGAATTCCTATGGTTTTAGTTTGACGCTCGTTTTGGACACACACCGCATTAAAATAGAAAATGCGGACTAATTGGTGATAGCCAATCGGTTTAAGATGAAAGAGTTTATCAAATTTCCAGGATGTAAGGGTAGAAAGATATTGAAAATTTATATAATCCATTGCTTGCATAGAGGAAATCCGCTTTTCCTGGATTTTATATGACTCAAAAGATTATGGTACCTATGGTAGAGATCTTGTCTACGACCAGGCACATTAAAATAGGAGTTTAGAATGGTCATATTTGAGTCGTTTGGATTTGGATTTTGAGGTGAAGGTGGAACAGGAGGTCGTTTTGGTTTGAACGACTAGATGACGACCTAGGACATTTAGGATTAGATATGGTTAAAGATCGGAATGGGTAAGGTAACCTGCAAATTTGAAACACATGTATGCAATATAATCAATCCTAAAACTCAATAAGAGTCCGTAATATTCAAGGTTCTCTAAACTGAATCCTAATGAGCAATGTTTGAAAATAATTTTGAAAACAATGTATGAAAAATTATGATACATATAGTTTTCATGAAAACAACATAATTAAATCAAAACAACAATTAAATCAAAACAAAAAAAATTATTTTGAAATTTTTGAAAGATTTTGAAAGATTGTGTATTTTTGATAAAATTTGTTGTAGAATCTAGTTTAGAAACATCATATAATCAATGTCCGTCATAAATTTCAACCTAGAACTAATAAAAAATACCTTGAATATTTTTGGATTTGAGTGAGATTAGAAGATGTTTGCACGTATTTGATGATTGTAGCAAGATTTGGAGTTGAAAAACTAGTGATTTTCGAATTAAATCGTTGATTTTGAAGCAATGTGGAGATTGGGTTTGAGAGAGGGGACAAACGGCTAGAGTGTTTATAGTTTTAGGTTTTGGCTCAAATAGGATTTTTAAAGATTTAAAGCCTAAAACCCAAACGGGTGCATCGGTACACTGCATAGTGTATCGATGCACATTCATGGAATGCATCGATGCATCTTCATAGTGTATCGATGCATATTCAGGTAATGCATCGGTACACTTTCATAGTGGATCCATGCACTTAGCACAAAAATGTTAAAATCCGTTTTTTTAAACACTCAAAATGCTAAATTAATTATCTCTAGTGGTATTGGCAACTCATAGGATGAAAATTAACTATGTTTATTTGAACATAATTAATTTTCACTAAAGAATCATAAACTCCCCTAACTATTAGCAAAGAATGCAATCAAAAATATTATTTTTACAAGCATTTTTCAAAAATAATCAAAAGTGCTAAAAATTATTTTAAACACTAAGTCAAGGTATGTTAGTTAAACCTAATTATTTCTAAGTGTCCAAAATCTCTCTTTATCTAAAGGTTTTGTAAAAATATCTGCTAATTGATGCAAAGTATCAACATATTCTAGAAATACATCTCCTTTAGTGACATGATCTCTAATGAAATGATGTCTAATTTCAATGTGCTTAGTTCTAGAGTGTTGGATGTGATTTTTAGTGAGACAAATAGCACTAGTATTGTCACACTTGATAGGTATGGTACTAACTTCAATTCCATAATCTAAAAGTTGTTTTTCATCCATAAAACTTATGGACAACAACTACTGGCTAAAATGTATTCTGCTTCAGTGGTAGATAATGCAACACAATTTTGTTTCTTTGAAAACCATGAAATCAACATATTTCCTAGGAATTGGCAAGTACCGGAGGTGCTTTTCCTATCTATTTTGCATCCTTCATAATCCGCATCAGAGAAGGCATGCAAGCTAAAGCTAGAGTCTCTAGGATACCAAAGTCCTAAACTAGGAGTGTCCTTAAGGTATCTAAAGATTCTCTTAACGACTAGTAAATGTGATTCCTTAGGGCATGATTGAAATCTAGCACATAAGCAAAGACTAAACATAATGTCCGGTCTACTTGCGGTAAGATAGAGCAAAAAGGCAATCATTGACCTATATAATTTAATATCCACGCATTTACCTCCTTCATCTTTGTCAAGCTTTGTAGATGAGTTCATTGGAGTGGCATGAGGTTTCCCATTTTCCAATCCAAATTTCTTGAGCATATCCTTGACGTATTTTTCTTGATCGATGAAGATGCCATCTTTTCTTTGCTTGATTTGGAGTCCCAAGAAAAATGAGAGCTCCCCCATCATGCTCATCTCAAATTCACTCTGCATTAGCTTAGAAAATTCTTGGAAAATATCATCATTAGTATAACCAAATATTATATCATCAACATAAATTTGAACTACTAATATATATTTACCTTTTCGCTTTAAAAATAATGTAGAGTCAACCTTCCCTTATGAAAAACCTTTTTCAATTAAAAAATTTGACAATCTTTCATACCAAGCTCTAGGAGCTTGTTTTAAACCATATAGCGCTTTTGTCAATTTAAAAACATGATCTGGAAATTTTGAATCTTCAAAACCAGGAGGTTGTTCCACATACAGTTCTTCTTTTATAAAACCATTTAAAAATGCACTTTTAATATCCATTTGATATAATTTAAATTCATTGAAACATGCAAATGCTAATAACATTCTTATTGCTTCCATCCTAGCTACGGGAGCTTATGTTTCATCATAGTCTATGCCCTCTTCTTGAGTATAGCCTTGAGCAACAAGTCTAGCCTTGTTTCTCACTATATTACCACTTTCATCAAGCTTATTCCTAAATACCCATCTAGTACCGACAGTAGATTTATTACTAGGCCTTTCAACTAATATCCATACTTTACTTCTCTCAAATTGATTTAACTCTTCTTGTATAGCCATAATCCAATTTTCATCATCTAATGCTTCTTTAATATTCTTAGGCTTTAGCATGAGATAAATTCAACATAATTACATATATTTCTAAGAGAATATCGAGTTTTTACCCCTTTGGATAGAGCACCTATTATCTCACCATCCTTGATATAGTTGTATTCTCTTGGGTAAGAGACTTCCCTTTCTTCAATGGTTGGATTCTCGAGAACATTATGAGTTTCCCCATCTTTCGTTTCTTCTTTTGATGATGGTTCTCCAACGTCATGTTTAACGTCGTTTGCTTTTACAATACCTACGTCATCATCAACACAAGAATCCTTCCTCGGAAGGGGATTATCATCGAAAACAATATGTATAGACTATTCTACCACTAAAGTTCTTTTATTAAATACTCGATAAGTTTTAGAATTTAAGGAATAACCCATAAAAATTCCTTCATCACTTTTAGTATCAAATATGCCAAATTTTCTTTACCTTTGTTTAAAACAAAACATTTACATCCAAAAGGATGAAAATAACTAATGTTAGGCTTTTTATTTTTGAAAAGTTCATATGGAGTTTTCTTTAAAATTGGCCTAATCATTACTCGATTTATAACATAACAAGCGGTATTTGTGGCTTCCACCCAAAAATATTTTGGCAAATTTTTTCACAAAGCATGATTCTAGCCATTTCTTCTAAAGTTCAATTTTTCCTCTCAACAACTCCATTTTGTTGAGGGATTCTTGGTGCTGAAAATTATGGCTAATACCATTAGAATTACAAAAATCATTAAATCCAAGATTTTCAAATTCAGTACCATGATCACTCCTAACACTAGTTATGGAGTAACCTTTTTCATTTTGGATTACTTTTGAAAATATGATGAATTTTTCTAATGCTTCATCTTTATTACTTAAAAATAAAACCCAAGTATATCTAGAATAGTCATCTATCAATACAAAACAATACTGTTTTCCACCCAAGCTAATAGTCCTAATTGGCCCAAAAAGATCTATATGGATCAATTGTAATATTCTACTAGTTGATACATCATTAATGGACTTAAAGGAAGCTCTTTGATGTTTTCCTTTAACACAAGCATCACAGATTTTATCTTTATCAAATTTTAGCTTTGACAACCCTCTTACTAAATCTCCTTGAATTAGTCTTTGTAAAACACTCATGCTTGTATGTCCTAGTCTCTTATTCCATAACCAACTATAATGTCTTATTCTATAACCAACAAGCATAATCTGATTAGATGCAATGTCAATGACTTTACAACCATTTTGTTTCGAATAAGACATTATATCCTTTATCGCAAAATTGACTAATACTCAATAGATTATGCTTTAACCCATTCACATATAAAACATCTTTAATTTGTATGGAAGAGGTATTACCTATAGTACCTATACCTTCAATGTGACCTTTTGAATTATCACCAAAAGTCACCTCTCCTCCATTTTTTTCGTTAAGCTAGATGAACCGGCTCTTGTCTCCGGTCATATGTCTTGAGCATCCACTATCAAGGTACCATGAGTTTGAACTTCTTTCTCGTGCCTTGTAGCAATGGTCCTTTCCCTACAAACATAGATTAATTCTTGATTTTTGGTACCTAATTTCTTTTGGGTCCATATTCATTAGTTTTTAAAATTTTAGTCCCCATGGGTATCCACTTGTGTAGGATATCCTTATCTTTAGTAGTAATGAGTTCTTTAGGAACCCATATACTTCTAACGATTTTTCCATTAGAGGTTCTTCAAGGACCTCTATGATTGTAGTTTTTAAAACTTTTTCTAAAAAATTTGGATTTTGAAATTTCTCCATTTTCAAAACGTTTTATTCCAACTTTATCAAAAGAAGCTTTAAGATCATCAATTTTCTTTTGATGATCATCATTCACTCTTGAAAGTAGGTTATGCAAATCAGTATTTTTCTTTTCAAATTCATCTAATTTGATTTGCAATTCTTTGACCTTACTTTCAAGATCAATGTTGGTTTTGGATATGAGATTATTTTCATTTTTCAATTTTGAAATATCATTTTTGTATTTTAAAAATAATTTCTCATAATCTGAAGCCAACCCAGTGTATTCCTCTAACAACTCATCAAAAGAATAATCTTTGAAATTAAATGAGCTAGAGATTACCTGAGAATCCTCCCCGAAAGCCATCAAGCACAAGTTTACTACTTCTTGTTCCTCTTCATTGGAAGCTTCATCATCGCTCCATGTAGTCGCGTGTGCCTTATGCTTCTTCTTGGATTGACCATTTTTCTTTAATTGTGGGCAATCGTATTTGACATGCCTTGACTTTTTGCATTCGTAGAAAATGATCGGGTCTTTCTGCTTTGGTTCATTCTTGAAGCATTCATTTCGTTTGAATTTTCTTCCTCTATTGAGCTTCATTAATTTTCTGAATCTTTTGGCAAATAATGCCATTTCCTCGTTATTGTCATCTTCATCATAATCACTCTCATCTTTTTTGGATTTGAGAGCAACTCCAACGTTTTTCTTCTTCTCCGTCTCCTTATTTGGCTCATCCCTTTTCTCGAGGTCTACCTCATCTTGAAGCATCATTTCATGAGTGAGGAGATAACCAATAAGCTAATCGAGGGTCAAGGATTTTAAGTTTTTAGCCTCGATGATCGCCGTCTTATTTGATTGCCAAGATTTTGGAAGAGAGTAAACTAATTTCCTCACAAGCTTCTTGTTTGGAATGATCTCTCCATATGATTTGAGACCATTGACAATCTTGGAAAATCTATTCGTCATAGCTTTGACATCTTCATCCAGTTTCATCATGAAATTTTCATAGCTATGAGTTATAAGACTAATTTTAGATTCTTTTACCTTGTTTGTGCCTTCATGAATGACTTGTAGTTTACCCCATATCTCCTTGGCGGTTCCGTATTCATCTGGTCCAAGAGCACAAAAATAATATGGATAGCGTTTGAGTTGAGCTGAAATATTCTTGTCTCTACTTCACTCCACAATCTTGAATGAGTGGAAGGTATGATGTATCCGTCTTCTATGATATTCCATTTTCCCATGTTACTTGCTTGAATAAAGTACCTTATTCCATTCTTCAAATAAAAGTAATTAGCTCCATTGAAGAAAGGAGGCTTGTTGACGGACATTGAATCAAGACCGAAGTCAAAGTTTGAAGTAGAGGCCATTGATGACTTGAATATCGATATAACTCTTCCCGAATCGACTCAAGAGGTGGTTAAACCTTCAAATGAGTGTAGCTCTGATACTAATTGTTGAGTTAATCGATCGACGAAATAGCCAAGAGGGGGTGAATTGGCAATTAAAATTTTGGTGGAAGCTTTTGCAGAAAATAGAAAATATTTGCACAATGATTTAGAGTGGTTCGACTTTCTCAACCAAAGTCTACGTCCACTACCTTAGCTATCCACGCTAAGGATTTTCCAACAAATTTACTAATTTGTTCTTTCTTTTGAGGACAAAGAGCAACCTTACAACTCCCTCAAGAATTATACCCCAAATACTTGAGAACACTCTCTCTCAAATAGAAGAATACAAATTTCGCAAACTTACAGAAAAACCTCACAAGGTAAGATGTTTGCACAATTATAGAACAAAGAAAGAACACTCAAGAGTAAATACAATTGAGTACAAGAAGTGTTCTTGAAAGTAAAAATGAATATTGAATGAAAATTGGTGTGAATTGCTCAAACTTGATGTTTAAGGCTTTCTCTTTGTTTCTCTCACAATTGTTGTTGATCAATGGCTCCTAAGCTTGTTTAAATACACCTTGGATCACTTTTGAACGTTGGAGATCATTGGTGAAGTCAATAGAGTCGTTATTGTATAATTATCATTTAAAAATCTGGTTGGGAGTGTAGGTGCATTGGTACACTCTCAAGGGTGTATCGGTACACTATGTGTAAAATTCAAATATTTCGACAGTTAGTTGACCTAGTGCATCGGTACACTTGGGGTGCATCGGTAAACTAATTACATTCGATGTTTCAAAAGAGCCAGGAGTGTATCGATGCATGGTCTATGCATCGATACATAAAATACATTCGATGTTTCAATAAAATCATGAGTGCATCGATGCATGGTTGTGCATCGATACACAAAATGCATTCGAATTAGGGTATGCATCGATACATCCAAGAGTGCATAGGTGCATCCCTTTATAAAATTGATTTTTTGGCTCGATTTTGGTTCGAAATACTTTGTAAAATTGTTTCAAAAATATTTTATAAGTTTAAAACACAATTTTACACTTTAGTAAGGATTGAAAGTGACCTTTGAAAAACTTGGAGTAATATTTTGATATTTGAATGACTTAATCGAATATACTTTAAAAATGATTATAAATCTTAAAATTCAATAACACTTAATTTTTTATATCAAAACATCAAAATGTTTTCAACAAAGATGACAACCATTCTGGTATCTTCATTTTCTTCAAAGCCATAGAGCTTTGGAGACCCTGAATTCAAGAGGGGAAAAGGGTTGCTAAAGATGTATGGTGTAGAAGGTAAGGCCAGAGGATTTTTGAAGAGGAGCTTCGGGTGGCTTAAAGGTAAGTACACGAGTTGTCTATGGTCATGGATGATATGATGATGGGACAAATGGGAACATTTATTTTTCGAAAAATTTAATTTTTTTATTTTAGATTTTGTATGTGTATTTGTTACTACTAATTTATTTTTTTCCTTTAAATTTTTATAAATTCACTTATAATATAAAATCATACGTCTTTCCCGTATATTAAATCTGGTGCCCATGATTTTGGGAAATTTTAGTCTTTTATTGTTTTGTTTCTTATGATTCATAAGATGTAAACCAAATTTTGGGATTATAAAATGTTGAACTCCTTTTTCAAATTCTAGTTGATCTTCCAAGGAGAAAGATATTTTTTCGTTAATGGAATGTTTAATGAATTGTTTGCATTTATAATTCTCTCTTACTTTAAAA